CGCGGTGGCAAAGTTTCACCGGATGTCACTTCCATCGCGCGTTTGCCTCACGGACGTCCTGGCCGATGTTCACCTCTTCTATCAGGTCGAGGCGCGGGGGGGGGGGGCTTTCGACTGCCCGGCTCTGAAAGCTTCAGGGCCCTAGGATTTATTCGCGTCGCATTGTGCAGGGGCGCGTCCACCGCCAAGGATCTGGTCGTCGCTATTCGGACTTGGAGGTGCTTGTCGCTGCCCGTCGGCTTCCGCTCGTTCTTGTTCTTCGAAGGCGCAGGCTGGTGTATTGCAGCGAGCTCTTCGCAAACGCCCCACGGCGCTCTTCTTCTTGTGCGATCTGGTAGCTGGGCAGCATTGCTCGTGGACTGCGCTTGTGCAGGAAGATTTCGCGTGGCTCAGCAGGTTTGAAGTGGCTTCTCTCTTCGGGCGTCCTGGTCGTTGAGGCGGTGGTGCGAGTTTGCGCAGACTGATGGTCCTAAACTTCGGCGCGAGATACAGTTGGCGTGGGATAAGTTTTTGAGCGCGGGGCTTGAGCAGATGCAGCACCAAGCTTGGGAGAGTATCCTGCAATCATGGACGGGGCATGTACGTATGTCGGATGAGGAGGTCACGCGCTATGCGTGCTACGAATGTGGAGCCACCTTCGGGTCGAAAGGCGCATGTCGACACCGCGTTACCCTGCGTAATCTGATTGACGCCGCTCAGTTGCTTGCGCGAGGTACCCATTGTGGGGCGCGCGGTACGCTCTTTGGTGATCGTAATCTCTTGCGACATCTCAGGGCAATACTTGTATTGGTTGATGGAGAACGACAGTCCGCTGACTACGGAGGAGGCTGATGCGCTTCGACAAGATGATCTCCAGAGCAAACGACGTCTGGTGAGGGCAGGGTACAACTACCACCAGGTGACCAGTTATGCTCAACGTGACGATCACTGGGGTCATCGAGGAGAACCTTATCATCCTTCTGTTCCTCCTGAAGTTCGACTGGTTATTTGGGAGCGGTCTAAGAAGATATTTGGGCTCTCCATCAATCCGATTTTCTACCATCTGGGTGCGGCACCTTCTTATCCTGGCCATCTGGGGAATTGGATTCAGCAGTGTCGTCGAAAGCAGACGACTATCACGATATTGAAGTTGGATGAAATTATAGACATATTTGGTACCAGCGACAAAGCTCTTTGATTTGATCGATTTTATGTCGAGTGGAAAGGTTTTGGCAATTACTCTGCAACTTCAGCTTCCTACCTGGCACCCGCAGTGGTTCAGTGGCGTTGGTGACGTGTCAAGTATGGTACTTCGTGATTCGGATTACCCTCTTTGAAGTTGTCGACTGAGAAGCGCGGCAGAGTGAAGCGTGACAATGTTCTGTTGCCGATTAATTGAAATATTTTTGAGATATCAGGCCTTTGGGGAGCGCCTCGTGTTTTTCAGTGTGGGACCAGCGTTTATACTCAGCTGGCTTTTTGCTTGGACCGCGTGCGGTCCTGCACGCGGCCCGGTCGTGCAGTGCATACTACTACGAGGGCTGGCAAGGACATTTCTCTTTCTTGGATAGAATGGCACACTCAACTTTGCAGCGAGGTTGAGAGTCTTGTTGATGGTGGCCGCCTGGCTGCCCACCGACCTGGAGCAAATTCAGCTGACTCGGCTGCCTGCTGGCCTCTGGCCATGAACCGTGTGCTGGCGAGGGCCATCCGGTATGGATCGGACCCTTGGTAAAAGGGGAGGAGGAGTGGATGCTTGTAGGTGGACTCGGAGCGGGGAAGCTTGGCGTGCTGTCCTGGGTGGTGGGGTGGCTGGGGGCACAAGAGTGTTTAGGTGGGTGAAATACCCCGCTAGTACCTCCCAGCCGCCCCCCACCCAGGGATCATACTAGGTAGCGTGCTTTGCCTCGCATCACCCTGTTGTGCGAGGCGACGGCGCGTGCGAGGGTGCAGAGCGACAGCGCAACCCTCGACGTGCAATCCCTCCATGGTCTCGCCCGAGTCCCTCCTCACTTACCTCATGACGATCTTCCTTGTCTCCGTCTCCCTATCTCCCGTGCGCTGTTCCGAGCTCGACCACATGCCTCAGAGGTTCGCTTTCTTCGGCCCCATGGACCGTGACTGTTTCCTGTGTATTCCACGGTGTGTTCCAGAGGCAAGGTCGAGTTCGGGTACTTGCTCGTCTTTACTGCTTCGGCTTCGGTCCCCGTGGATGGGGGAGCGTGACGTGCTGTCCTGGGGCGCGGGGTGGCCGGGGGCACAAGAGGGTGTAGGTGGGTGAAATACCCCGCTAGTACCTCCCAGCCGCCCCCTCCTCAGGGATACCAGGCAGCCTGCCTGGCCTAGCCACGCCCTCTTGGCGACAGCGCCAGCCTCGACGGCGCCGCCATCTCCCCGCTCGACTCCCTCCCTCGGTCTACGCCATCGTCACTTTGGTCGTCCATCCTTGTCCTCTTCCTCCATCCTTGAGCGCCGTGCCCGACTTTACCGTTTTGGCCACGGTCTTTGTGGCGCCTGCTCCGCGGCCTCAACCGTCCGAGCGGACGGTGAGGCACTGGCTTCCGACCGCCTGCAGATGCAGGCCCAGCTGACGCTTCGGGTGTTCGCGCCCAATGGCCTGCCGAAGAAAGAGGAAGATACGGCGCTGCAGGGGAGATGCCGGGAGGAGGAGGAGGAGGAGGAGGAGGAGGAGGAGGAGGAGGAGGAGGAGGAGGAGGGGGAGGAGATGGAGGAGGAGGAGGAGGAGGAGCTAAGTGGGCTAAGTGCAAAGCGACAGGGGAGTCGCATGAGAGAGGGAAGCCCAATGGCGTCAGACATCAATCAGAGGAGCTGGAGGGGGAGATTGGCGGATGCGGGGCCCGCCTGGCAGCCGAACCCGAGGAGGAGGAGGAGGAGGAGGAGGAGGAAGAGGAGGAGGAGGAGGAGGAGGAGGAGGAGAAGGAGGAGGAGGAGGAGGAGGGGGAGGCCGAGAAGAAGTGGGCTGGGCGGGCCCCCTTCCCTCCTGCTCCTGCTCCTCCCCCTTGCCGCTCCGTCCTCTTCCAGGCCCCCCTCCGCCTGCCCCAGTCTCACCCTTGCCTCCCACGTGCTCTTCCTCCTCCTCATCCTCGCTCCTCCCCACTCCACCTCCTCCTACTCCTCTTCCTCCTCCTCACCCTCCTCGGTGTCCTGTTCCTACTCCTCCTCCTTGTCTTCTTCGCCCTCCCCGTCTCCCCCCTCACCCTCCCTCCTCTTCTAGTCCCTTCGCTTCCCCTCCCTTCCTTTCCCCTCCCCTCCCCCTCCCTTTCCTCCCACATTTCCCTCCTCATTTTCCCCCTCCCCCACCTCGCCCTCCATCCCTTTCCTTATACATAACTCCTCCCTGTCGCACCTCTCCAAACGTGTCGGCAGGGCGGGCCCGGCGTTTCGCCCAAGACTACCTCACCATTTCCGATCCTGAAGCTTGAAACTCGTGGCAATGTCAAGGATGCAGGGCATGTTGTTTTCAAGGTGTGCCTCTCGCCTTGGCGCCTCGCAGGCTCGTCTTTCAAGTTTCAACAGCTCTAAGGCTCCGTACGGTTGAAGTCCCCAAAAGTGTGCTGTGGCACGATTGAGGATTGCCCTGGACGCATCAGTAACGATGATCCGCGGAGGTGAAGTCTCAGGAGCGGTGTGCTGGCACGATTTAGAACTGTCAGGACGCAACGCTCACGGTGATTCGCGGCGTTTTAATTCCCAGTAGTTGTGTTTAGGCAAGTCAGATGATTCTCAAACACTTGCCTTTCAATGGGGCGCGTACCGATATGGTCAGAAATTCTGGTAGGGACCTATGGGGGAACTTGGAGGGATGGGCGATTGCAACATCATTGACGCGTCACGGATTTACGACTGCCCTCCTCGTCCTTTTCCTTCTCCTCCATGCTTATCCAGCAGACAACTTCTCCTAGATATTTCTCCCTGTCGCACACCAGACGTGTCGGTAGGGCAGGCTGGACGTTTTGCCTGAGACTTCCTCACCACGACTGATACTGAAACTCAGCAGTTGCAGCACATTCGAACATACATTGCGGGTCGTTTTCAAAATGTGCCTCTCGCCTTAGCGCCGCTCGCACTCGTCTTAAACGTTTGCAGCAGCTTCGAAGATCGAGGGCAATTCCTTTTCTAGATGTGGCTATCGCATTAGCGCTGCGCGCAGTCGCTTTGAAAGGTTTAGCACATTTAAGGATACGTACACGTAAGGTCTAATAAACTGTGTTTTGGCAAGCTTTGGGATTGACAGGACGCAGCAATGATGTTAACCCGCGGTGTTGATGTCCCAGGAACGGCGTTCTGGCACGGTTTGTAATTGTCTGGACGCAACAATCACGTTGCTTCGTGGCATTGGAGTCCCAGGAATTGTGTCTTAGTGAGGTTTAAAACAAAATCTGAGGCGGCTGTCTTTCAATGGGGCAACTCCCGCAAAGAAAACAATTTCTGGTAGTGGCCTGCGAAGAGGGACCTTGGATGGTTTATTGCGTCTTGGGTGTGCACTGGTCCTCCTCCTCCTCCGCCTCCTCTCTAGAGGAAGAACGACGGCATCAGCATAACTTGAGGAGGTCCACGCGGATATCTTGGATCTGCGATGAACCCCCCACCCTGGCGCGCGGAGCGCGCCATGGGCGGCGCTGGAGGCGCCGCCTGGAAGCCCCAGCGCAGATGCAAGAAATCCACTCATACCGTCGAACATGTATGGCTGCTTATGTAAATAATGTTTTCTTTTTCCAATCTCCTATCCCCACCTCCCTCTCCGTCGGGGGGTGCGCCCCCCGCCTGATCCCGGCCAACTCTTTGGACGCCCGAAATGGGTACGGAAAAACTGGGTGCGATGCCCGACAGCGAATGTTGTCCCAAACCGACAGCGGCCGCCGTTAGGCAGGCGGCCTCCTGTGCCAACAGAACAGGGACCGCGGCGGCATGGGCAGCGAAGCTGGCTCAGCATGAACATGGAATGCACCCGTTCTGATCGTCCCGGTTCTCCTTGACCCTGGCCTGCCCCCACAGCCCGCCGCCGAGAAGGATCGGGCCGGCAGCTGACGCGCGCGCCGACGCCGGTGAAGGCCGTGCTGGCCTCAAGAGCAGTGCACCGGGCACCGGCGCTCGCGCCGGCCACGAGGAGGCCCTACCTGGTGAGGCGCGATGCGCGGGAGAGCCCCCCGATGCCCTGCGCCGGTCTGGTCGCCCGCGCGACGATGGGGGGGCCCGCTCCTTCTCGCCCCTTTCTCTCCCTCTTCTCCGCGTGCTCCTCTCTCCTCCACCTCCTCCTCCTCCTCCCTCCTCCTCGCTCCTCCTCCTCCTCGTCGTGGAGCTCCTCCTCCTCCCCCCCCTCGCCCTCCTCCTCGTCCTCTTCCTCCCTCCGCCGCCTCCCCGATCCTCCTCCCGCTCCCCCACTCCTCTTCTTGGCTGCTCGTGCGGCGTCTCTTGGGCCTGGCGACAAGGCTACTGGACGCGCGGGCAGAGACCCGACGGCCCCTGCCACAGCCCAAAGCTTTCTTTCTGGGCTCCCTTCGCGGCGCCGGTGCCGCCGCCGCTGTTTTCCTTCAGCCCCCCCACCCTCTGGGAGAGGGCGAGGACAATAGTCCGCATGCACCGGGTAATAAATCACACCCCCCTCCCACGCCGGTCTTGATTCTATGCGGCTCTTTATGTTTCTGACATCCGGGGGCAGCGGCGAGGCCGAACGTCGTTATCCACGGGGAAAGTTATGAATCGAAGTTACAACTTTGTTATGTGGAGGAAAACATCGTCACAAGCGTGTGGCAGGACCATGGGATTCTCACCAGTCTACCTTTCCCAAGTCACGAACGTGTGGCAGGGCCATGGCAGTCTCACCATCTCAGCCCTTCCAAGTCACGAGCGTATGGCAGGGCCACGGGATCCTCACCATTTCAGCTTTCCCAAGTCACGAACGTGAGGCAAGGCCATGGGATTCTCACCGTGCCAGCCTCCCCAAGTCAGCCCTTGGGGTGCCCGTGCGCCCGTACATGCGACTCAGGACAGGCGGACAGGACAGGACAGGCGCGGCGTGCGCGCAGGCGCGCCCTGTGCGGGCTGCCGCAAACCCCGAACTTGATTATCCCCGTGGAACCCCGAACCTGATTATCCCACGGAGATTATAATCGGGGGTATTTGGCTAGTCCGCGGCGAGCCCAGGGGGGAAGTGAGAGATGGAACGAGCGAACGAACGAACCGACTCCGTCGCGCGCCGGAGCGCGTCCCCCGGGGGCATGGGCGGAATGGGCCGCAGCTCTCAGAAACGGGGGTCCTCGGCGTAGTCTCTCGCGCGCTGGAGCAGCAATTGCTCTCCATCTGTTTCCGCTGCTGCGCTGCGAGTGATGAAATCATGCTGGAAGCGTGGAAGCGCGAGAGAGGGAAGTGACCTTCTGACAAGGCCTGCCGCCTCGCAGGAGACGAGGCGACGAGGGCAGACGGGACGGGGCGACGAGACGGGGCGACGATGATGAAGTAGGCGGGAAGGCGAGACGAGGGCAGCCGCCTTCTGAAAAGGCCTGCCCCCTCGCACTCCCCCCCCCCCCCCCCGGGGCCCGCCGCCGAGATATGGTACAGTCAGACTCTGTGATCAGGTCGGGCATGTCCCCCCACGGGCGCAGCTTGGACGAAACGTAAAACATAGTAAATAGTTTTTTTTTTTTTTTTTTTTTTTTTTTTTTTTTTTTTTTTAAAAAAAAAACATATTTTTATAAAAAAGAGTCTCCAAATCGTCCCCAGACTATTTTTTGACCATCTCTGACATACTCCTGCTGTGGAGGGACATGCCCGACTCAACTCTATGATCAGGACGCGCGACGAGTGCGCACGGGAACCTTGGACGCCCAGTGTCTGAACGGCGCACGGTAAACGAGAACGGCAGAGGACGGGCCGGAGAGGCGAGGACGCAAGGGCACCCTCGGGAAAGTCGCCCGTCCTCACTGCGCGCGTTGGCTGCAACAGTGAAGGGGCCCTGGGACACAAATAAATAGACAAAATTGCAGGATGTCCAAGCTTTTCCCATGTTTTCTGGGTTTCTGCCTTCCCACCCACCTCCCATATTTTCCTAAATCTTCGGGGGGATCGACGATTCATTGTGTCTGTGTGCGTTCTTCCCCTCCTGAAGCAGGAAGGATGCGAGTGTCGAATCGCACGCGCGCCCTGAGCAGAACGCAGCAGCACTCCGCTCGGCGGTCCGCACGGGTTCCTGGCCGGCGCTGGGACCCCCTGCCGGCACCTCCGGCGCCGCCCCGAGGAAGGCGAAAGCGACCGCCGGCGAAAGAGACTCGCCCCAGTGGAGGTGGGTGGCTCGCCATCGCTCGGACGTCCATTCCCTGTGCCTTTTTCGGTTTCGTGCGTGGTTTTTTCGCCAAATGATCAAGGATGTTCCTCGATGGTCCCCACCGAGGAAAAAATGCACACGTCCGAGCGATGCCAAGGTGGGGGGGGGAAGGGGGTGGTGGAGGAGGAGGAGGAGGGGGGGATCAGACGGGCCAGGCGGGGAACGAAAACGATGACGACAACGGCCCCGCCCGACGGGGCGCCCCGGGCGCAGCCTCGGGACGGTCTCGGGCCAGCCCGGGGGGGGCGCGTTCCGCAGCCGGGAGATTTCTGGGCCCCCACGGGCCGCCGGGAGCCACCATGCGTGCCTCGGGCCGCGGTCCGGCCTCCCCTCCCGTCCAACGCTGATACATGCATCAACATGTGTGTATATATATATATATATATATATATATAGATCGTACCTTGAGTGTCAAACATATGTACAATATGTACATATACATCTATACACATTTCGGTATATCTTAAACTGTTTCTTACATACATTTATACATGTATACATGGGTGCATGCATGTGTTTCATTTCATTCATTCGCATTCTTGGCGCCGATGTCAAACCAGAGCAAGCTCAGCTGGCCACAAACATTTTGCAGCTCGAAACTCGACCTTTGCATCGAAGCAATGTCCCTGCTTGATGGCGGGCCCCAAACCCCAACCCTATGCGGTAGTCTCGCAGCCGACGGGCGCGATAGGGCCTCAGCCTGAGACCCACGACCTCCGACGTGTATAGAGATCGAGGGGATCAACAAGGCAAGGAACCAGACCTGCGCGTGCAGCGAGGGACCCTCCCAAAAAGGGCACCTCTGATGACACACCTGACCCCGAAGCCAGCGAGCCCGCACGCGATGCGGGCGCCCGACAGTATGTCGGGTCGGAGCCTCGCGCGCGCGGTCAAGCCTCCTAATGGCTACCGGTGGCGAACGCACCAGGGGGAGTGAATTGCCGGGTAAAGAACCTGCCATGAAGGAAAGGGTCGTAGGACGAAGCCAGGACTCGCGAGCGGCCAGAGGGGGGGGGTCATAAAACGACGCGAAGATCGGGACAAAATCGGATCGGGATAACTCGAAATCTCTGAGAATCGGCGGGTTTGGAGGATGTATTGGGCGCCGCGGCCGCTCCAGAGAGTTCCGGAACGCTCTGAGAGCGCTCTGGAACGCTCTGGAACGATTTATCCCGATCCTAGCCCTGTTTTAACGGTGTCCAAGAGGGGGGGGTGCAAATCATGGCCGGCGGCATGTGCGCGGCCCAGCGGGGGGGCCAGGGACGTCATGAAACAAGAGGAGGCGCCATGAAATCTGGGGAGATATCATGGCCCACGCCATGATATCCACCCCCCCTTAGTCATCACCCCCCTCTTTTCCGCCCCCGAAGGACGAGGATAAATCTGGGCGAAGATGTACCGAGGATCTCTGAGATCCGGCGGCTCTGGAGGGCGTCTCGGGCGCCGCGGCCTTCTCAGCGCGCTCCGGACGGCACCCCTGCAGGAGCTCCGGGGCGCCCTGGGAAGGACTTATCCTTGTCCTGGCCCGAGGTTTGATAGGCTTAGGTCGGGCCTGTTCCCCTACACGGGGATGTTGGACGAACAATGAAAAATAGTCAAAAAATGTCCCCAGAAAGAAAACCGTCCCCGGACTTTTTGACTATTTTGGAAAAGTCCTCCTGTAGAGGGACAGGCCCGACTTGATGACAGACGGAGGGCGGCGCAACATCCACTTTTCCGCCGCTGGGGGACGCCTGCCCCAGGCGTGCTGGAGAGTTTTTTCTCCTACACACACATATATATATATATATATATATATGTATGTGTATATATTTATATAGAGAGGTATATAGATAAAACAGATGTATATATATATATATATATATATATACATAGCTGGAGTTTTTCCTTATATGTATATATATTATATATGTATATATACATATATTTATGTATATATATATGTATATTAATTGACAATGAGAGGACCCCTGACCCTTTGGGAGGGGACCTGAGTTAGTGAAGGGGCCTTGGGACACACAAATCAATACACACAAATAGAAGGACTCCCAATAGTTTCTTGTATTTTCTGGGTTTTCGTCTTCCCCCCCACTTCCCATAGTTTCCCATATTTCCTGGGGATCGACGATTCATTGTGTCTATGTGCTTTTTCCCCTTCTGTGAGTTATGGGGGCCACAAACATCAGGGATATGGGGGCGTCGTTCCTGCAGATGTGCTGAACCAAAAACCGCCCAGAATCATTGTCCCCCGTGCAGAGATGGGGACCGAAGTGGGGCCACGCTTTCACTGACATTATATACCCCTGCGGTGGCACGTCGGGGCATAAACTTCCCAGCCGCCGTGGGGCAGGCGCCACCGGCGGCGGAAGAGTTTACAGTGGAGGCCCGTCCACAAGAAACCTTCCACAAAAAACCCAACCTTGAGACCCCAGGACGCCCATTGATTCTTGGTGTGGGGACGCCACGCTTTCCATCGCAAAACCATCGAACCCCAAGAAATCCAGGGCACCCTGGAGGCGAGCAGGGTGTTTCTTGGGCCCCCACTGTATGTTGTACCGTTCTTCGTCGGCTCAGAGGTCGGCGGCGCACGCCAGGGGGCCGGCGCGAGGGGGCGGCACGAAAGGGGGCCTCTCCGAGGAGAACACCTGCCCTCTCAGAGGCCCCCCCCAGTCCTCCTCCTCTTCCTCCTCCTCCTCCTCCTCCTCCTCCTCCTCCTCAACCTCCTCAGCCGCCGCTTCTGCTCAAGCCACCTTTTCAGCGGCCCAGCAGGCACCCCGCGCAGAGCAGTTCCGCCCGCCAAGGGCGCCTTCCATGACATGCCAGCCTGGCTGGCCTCCATATTCTTCATGACGATCTGGATCGTTATGCAGTTCCTTCGAGGGGGAGTATCTAATACTATCTCGCTGCTGGCGCTGCATCGCCGCCTCGTGATCAGCCACACCCACAGCGCCACGGACGTGCAGCTCCCCCCAGCTATGCGTTGGCGACTGCGCGACGCCAGCTCAGAGATCGACCAGCTCAAGACTCTCGAGCACGAAGTCTACTCGTGGGGCTATAGCCGTGGACCGCTCACCAACAGTCATGAGGGCAGGGAGATCATGGTGAGCCCCCAGCGGTTCGGTCAGCGAGCCTTCGTCGATATCAAGAGCCCGCCCAAGCAGATACAAAGATACGCTGGTGCTCTCCGCTACCAGAGGGGCGAGTGCGACCTCGCCTTTCTCGCGGCCTACTTCTCGCCTCGCTCTGGGTTAGCGGCAAAGTCTATCCAGTGGGTCACAACGGTCATAGAGACGCACAAGTGGATCAATAGTACGCTTCATGCCACACCGACGTGCAGCACACCGTCGATAGGCATCGACTCCAACGATCATCAACATGGAGCTGACGGACTCATTGCAGAAGAAGTACATGAGGCCTTCGGAGACTCACAACTACACGGTCGGCCAGTTGAAGCAGCAGCCTCCTGCTATTTCATGATGGACGTTCACGGATTCCGCCTCCCCAATACCTTCTGGCAGGCTGGCCCTACCTATCTTGGTGCAGCTGGACAAGCTACGAGACCTGATTACCTCGTGGTTCCCCCAGGGCTATTGCAGAATCTCCAGACAAGCGGTATTTGGTGGAAGGCAGTGAAAGCGGTTCCGCAGCTCAAGTACAGCGTGCCGAGGGACCCAGAGCCTCTCGTCGCCAGGGCCGACTTCGTCATGCACAATCTCTCCTCAGGCATTCTTCGGACGTTATGGGATTACGACAAAATGGCAGAGTCTCTTCTGACAGGTGTTTATCGCAATGAGCTCATATTAGCCCTCGCGAACTCGCTGGAGCACCACACAGATACCATCCGCGAGCTCAAAGAGCAGGGCACCACATACGACCTGGTGAAGTTTCCGATCGACATGCTCAAGACCACTGCCAAGCCCTACGTCGAGAGAAAACAAAAAGCCTGGTACCAGCAAACAGCTCATGGCAGAGAAGCCTCAGCTTCTAAAGAAAATGGTGGAGCTACGCAAGCAGTACATCGGCGCAGAGATCGCTCTTGTCATCGGAGAGAAGCTGGACACACTCACGAGTGCTATCAATAAGCAGAAGCAACTACACGACGCAGCACGCAAGAAAACATCAGAGGCACAGATCTCCGAGTCACGGTAACAAAAGGCAGCACGCCGAAAGACATCGACTCAACAGGTGCGTGGCAAGCACCAATCACGGCAAGAGGAACCGCAACTACTACAGCAGAGCAGCCCGTTCGAGACCGAGCCTCGCCGAGAGGACTACGCACGGTGCACTCAATGGCGCCCACGGAGGATTTCAGGCTCATCTTTTCGATTTCGAAGACGAGAAAAAGCTGCCCCTGGCCGCCTTCGAGGACCGCTACGACGACATCAAGCAGCAGATCAAGGATGAGTATCACGAGGAGGAGGAGTACATGGGCATCCTGTTCTACGGAGACAAGAAGCGGCTCAATTACTTCAATCAACGAGCTCAAGTTCCCGAATGGTCGTTGCCAGCTGACATCACCCAGATCATCCTGCAGCCTACAGACACCACAAAGAGAAAGCCGCAGACCCAAGGCCTCGGTTTCTACCAGGAGCTGATGGAGGCACCGCCGCGGACCGTGCAATGTCCAGAAGGGCTACTTCATCATGTCTACCGGGTCGGCTTCGCTCCATTGGACGCTCATCACAGCATAAGCTTCACGCTCGACAAGCTGAACGCCAAGCCCTCAGTTCAAGGATTGTGTATACTGCACATGTACTGGCCACTCTGGCGCTACGTGTACTGACAACTGCACTGCCAGTCTCTTCCTGGACAAGATCAAAGCAGACACGGTACTGCTCAAAGTCTAGTACATCAAACTCAGCAAGTGATTCGACTCATACTCAGCGTAGCTCTCGCTGTTCGTGCAGGGCGCATGGACGGAATCGGAGCTCGAGGAGGAACCGATGGAGGAGCAGATGCAGTGGGTCAGCATCCAGGATACCATTCACCGTGCACCACTTCAGAAAGGAGCGGTGGTCAAGGAGGGCAAGGCTCCTGCGGGAGGCAGGGCTGGTGAGCTGGCTGCCTGGTTTGCAGGACAATGAATGTGTATGGAGGCCGACTATCTACGCCATGGTCGGTTTCAAGCTCGGAGTGCGCGACGCCGTGAGCTGAGTGAAGGCGCCCGCGCTGCGCGGGCGACGGCGGGGGCTAGAGCAAGAGGCACGCGCCAGACTCCGCCCCCCGAGGCCGCTCTTATTCTTCTTCTTCTTCTTCCTCAACCTCCTCCTCCTCCTCCTCCTCGTACTCCTACTGCCCTATCAGGGGCCCCTCCCGCCGCCCTTCGTCGGAGGGCCGCCGACCTCGCGGCGAACCCCCTGCTTGCCATCGCTCGGACGTCCATTCCCCATGCCATTTTTCGGCTTCGTGCGTGCACATTCGCCAGATGATCCAGGATGCGCCGCGATAGTCCCCGCAGAGAAAAGCATCACACGTCCGAGCGATGCCAGCCCTGTGCGGTGCTTGCCGTCGAAGGGGGTCCCGCCTGGCGGATGCCTCTGCCTCGACGAGAAGGCGCCTCACTTCGCCCTTCGCGCTGCGCGGAGCGCGAATCACGGAACGCGAAACACTTTGCGCTCTCGCGCCGCCCCCCCAGGAAAAAGGACGAGGAGGAGGAGGAGGAGGAGGATGAGGAGAAGGAGGAGGAGGAGGAGGAGGAGGAGGAGGTGGATGAGGATGAGGAGGAGGAGGAGGAGGAGGGGGAGGAGGATGATGATGATGAGGAGGAGGAGGAGGAGGAGGAGGAGGAGGGGAGGAGGAGGAGGAGGAGGGAGAGGAGGCGGAGGCGGAGGCGGAGGCGGAGGCGGGGGGGAGGAGGAGGAGGAGGAGGAGGAGGGAGGAGGAGGAGGAGGAGGAGGAGGAGGAGGAGGAGGCGGAGGCGGGCGGCGGAGGGAGGGGGGAGAGGGGGAGGGGGAGGGAGAGGGGAGGGGAGGAGGAGGAGGAGGAGGAGGAGGAGGAGGAGGAGGAGGAGGAGGAGGAGGAGGAGGAGGAGGAGGAGGAGGAGGAGGAGGAGGAGGAGGAGGAGAGGAGGAGGAGGAGGAGGAGGAAGAGAGAGGAGGAGGGATGCCCTGCGGATGGCGGGAAGGGGAGGGATGAGGGATCGACCTGTCCTCCTCCTCCTCCTCCTCCTCCTCCTCGTCGTCCTTGTCTCGTCCTCCTCCTCCTCATTTCCCCCGCTCCTCCTTTTCCTCCTTCTCCCCCTCCTCGTCTGACCTCGCTTCCCCGCACGGCTCAGAATGCCGAGCTTGTCCTGGCATGGGGGGAGGCATTCGAATCTGGGACTCGTTTCCCTGCGGACCCCTTTCCTTCATGGCGGAGTGGAGGGTGGCCGCTGGGCCCCAGCGAAGGCGCTCAGCGGACAGTGGCGGGCCCCAGGGAAAAAGCTACACGCGCAGTGCAGAAGCCCAGAAGTGCCAGAGGCGGAGGGGGGGGGCGAGGAGGACGGGGACGTCCCTGTCGGGGAGAGGGGGGAGCACTGTCTGGAACCAAGAAAAGGGCACGCTCAGAAACTTTCGGAGGCCCGCGTGCCCTTCTGGGACGAGCGCTGGCGCGCGCAGCGCTCCCGGCGCGGCGCTGGAAGCGCCGCAAGGGGGGCCCAGGCGCCGACCCAAGAGATCCGCGCGGAGCTCCGAAACGCTCAGCGACGATCCGAGGAATCCGCGCGGACCTCCAGAAGTTTGTGCTGGTGCCGTCCTTTCTTCTTCGAGCGTGCTGCTTGGCCCTGCCAAGAAAAACATGCGGCTCCTCTAGAAGAGCACCCTGGCCGGCACAGGCGAGCGGACCGCCACCGTGCGCGGCCAGTATGGTTGTGGATAACCTGACAATGGACACTCTAACAATCTCATCATTGACTTAAACATGTGCTTGTTCTAAACATGTTTCAAGCATGTTGTTTTACATGTTTCAGGCATGTTTTACATATGTTTTACACATCTGGAAAATATTTGGTAACATTTTTTTTTCTGTTGGTCGTCGTCCACAACAATATGGATGTGGATGTCGCGGTCTCTGCGTGGAGCCGCGAGCGCGCGGCGCAGCCGCTGCAGAACGCTCCACGGATTCGGCGGGTGAGCCAGGCTCCTTGGCCGTGACCCCCGCAACTTCCTCCTCCCTCTCCTCCTCCATCCCTGAAGGGGGCCCCGGGACACACACGCAAACAAACACACACTCAAACACACACGCACACACCCAGAACAACACACAGACACATACACCCAAACAAACTCCCGAACACACACAAGTACGCACACAAGCACACACACAACCAAACAAAAACACACACGCCCAAAACACACACACACAAACACACAAACAAACAAACACACCCATACACACAACCACACACACAAACACACAAACAAATACACAAACACACACAAACACATACAAACACACACACAAACACACAAACGCACACACACAAAAACACACGAACACACCCACGACCACACACACAAACACGCACGCACAGACACACATAAACACACACAAACACACAACCACACACAAGCAACCACACACAAACACACACACACATAAACACAAACACACAAGCAGACACACACAGACACAAACACACAAACACACAAGCACACACAAACACAAACAGACACACACATACACAACACCACACAATCCGCCGACCCCTTGGGGATCATCGGCGTGTGAGATGCTTCCCCCTCCCCAAACCCCTCCCCCGGGAGCCCGGTCCGGTCGATTTGGAGGGGGGGGGGGGTCCGGGACGAGCGCTCCACGGGGCTTTTCCTGGCCCAAGAGGGCTTCAAGACGGGCCACGAAGCCCCCAAGAGGCCTCCAAGACGGCCCACGAAGGCTCCGAGAAGCCAAACGACCGCTCCAAGACGCCCACGATGGCCCCAAGACGGGCCAAGAGGTCTCCAAGACGGCCCCTGAGGTCCCAAATGAGCCTCCCAAGAGGGCCCAAAGAGTCAAAAATTGTGATTTTCCAGAGTGTTTTTCGATGTTTTTTGCTTTTCCGCCTTTCCGGCTTCCCGACGCTCCAAGACGGGCAAAGAGGCCCCAAAGATAGCCCCAAGATGGCCCAAGAGGCCCCCAAGACGGCCTCCAGACGGCCCAAGACGGCCCCAAGACGGCCCAAGAGGTCCCCAAGACGGCCCAAGAGGGCCGATTTGGAGGGGGGAGGGGGCCGGGACGAGCGCAGCACGGCCGGGACGAGCGGTTCCAGGGCTTTTCCGGGCCCAAGAGGGCCTCAAGACGGGCCAAGAAGGCTCCAAGAGGCCTCCAAGACGGCCCACGAAGGCTCCGAGACGCCAAACGACGCCTCCAAGACGCCCAAGATGGCCCCAAGACGGGCCAAGAGGTCTCCAAAGCGGCCCCCGAGGTCCCATACAAGTCTCCCAAGAAGGCCCCAAGAGTCTAAAATTGTTGATTTTCCATAATGTTCTTCGACGTTTTTTGCTTTTCCGCCTTTCCGGCTTCCCAACGCTCCAAGACGCGCGACGAGGCCCCAAAGATAGCCCCAAGATGGCCCAAGAGGCCCCCAAGACGGCCTCCAGACGGCCCAGGACGGCCCCAAGACGGCCCAAGAGGTCCTCAAGACGGCCCAAGAGGGCCGATTTGGAGGCGGGGAGGGGGCCAGGACGAGCGCAGCACGGCCGGGACGAGCGGTTCCAGGGCTTTTCCGGGCCCAAGAGGGCCTCAAGACGGGCCAAGAAGGCTCCAAGAGGCCTCCAAGACGGCCCACGAAGGCTCCGAGACGCCAAACGACCCCTCCAAGACGCCCAAGATGGCCCCAAGACGGGCCAAGAGGTCTCCAAGACGGCCCCCGAGGTCCCAAACAAGCCTCCCAAGAGGGCCCCAAGAGTCTAAAATTGTTGATTTTCCATAGTGTTTTTCGATGTTTTTGCTTTTCCGCCTTTTCGGCTTCCCGACGCTCCAAGACGGCCAAAGAGGCCCCAAAGACAGCCCCAAGATGGCCCAAGAGGCCCCCAAGACGGCCTCCAGACGGCCCAAGACGGCCCCAACACGGCCCAAGAGGTCCCCAAGACGGCCCAAGAGGGCTCCAAGACGGCACCACGAGGGGCCCAAGAGGGCGACCAAACATGTTGAAACTCTAGCTTTCTGCCCCCAGGAGCCCCAGGGGGCCCCAAGAGTGCCCCAAGAGGCCCCCAGAGGCCCTCACGAGGCCGCCCAGACGCCCCAAGGAACCCCCAAGAAGCACCCCAGAGGCTCCGAAACGGCCCCCGAGTGGCTCCAAAACTCGCAGTGTCGCTGTCCGCTCGGACCTCCCCGCGGAACTGCCCGAGACCCTCTGGCGGTGGCGGCGAACAGACACCAAACAAATATCACTCGCCTTTTCACCCCTTCGCAACTTCTACTACCCCCAGATTGGCATAAACAAGGGGTCGGCGGTGTGGCGTAAGCCTAAGAATCACACACAAACACACAAACACACAACCATGCACACAAACAAACACGCACAAACACACTATCACACACAAACAGACACAAGCACACACAGACAAACACACGCAAACAAACAAACAGACACAACCATACACAAACCCACAAACACAAACACACACACGCACACACAAACAAAAACGCAACCAAACACACAAACACACACAACCACACACTCAAACATACGAATACCCATACACACAAACACACACAACCACACACACGAACACACACAGACACACACACAACCACGCGCAAACACACACAACCACACAAACACACACACATACACAAACACACGCAACCACACGAACACGCATACAACCGCACACACAAACACACACACATACACACAATCACTCACACACACACGAACAACAGCACACACAAACAACAGCACACACTCACACACAAACAACAGCACACACAAAAACACACAAACACACACACACACGCACACAAACACACACGCAACCATACAAACACACACGCACAACCAAACACACACACAACCACACACAAACACACACGAACACACAACCACACACATACACACGAACACACCCACACACAACACACGCGCAACCACACACACAAACACACACACAACCACACACAACCACAGACAACCATACACAACCCCCCACACACACTCACACACTCACACACTCACACGCTCACACACACACCCACACAGCCACACAGCCACACAGCCACATAGCCACACACCCACGCCCACGCCGCCACCCCCACCCCCACCCCAACCCCCACAACCACACACCCACACCCAAACAATCACCCACACCCACACCCACGCACGCACGCACACACACACACACACCACACATACCACACACACACACATCACACACAGACACACACAGCCACGCACACACACCACACACCACACACACACACACGCATACACGCACACACGCACACACAGACATCAGGCACACGCACACATCACGCACACGCGAACGAACACGCACACGCACACACAAACACACAAAACTCACAGGCGCACACCAACCACACACCACACACCACACAACACACACCACACTCCACACACCACACCACACACCACACACCACACACCACACACCACACACCAAACACCACACAGCACACCACACAACACACACACATCACACACCACACACCACACACCAAACACCACACAACACACCACACGACACACACGTCACACACCACACACCACACACCACACAACACACAACAACTGAGACACAGCCCACAACCCGCATCACAGACCACACAACGCACAGCACAATCCACAACGCACAAACCACATCCACCAACACACAACCCACAAGAACAACCACACAGCACACAACACACAACACCCAACACACAACACACAACCAACACACACCACTCAACACAACCCACAACCCACAATCAACAACCAACACCCCACAACCCACAACCCACACCCCACAACCCACACCCCACAACCCACAACCCACAACCCACACCCCACACCCCACAACCCACAACCCACAACCCACACCACACACCAGACACCACACAAACACCCACCACACACCACACACCACACACATATACACACACACACACCACACACCCCACACACCGCACACACCACACACACCGCACATAATCACACACACACATCACACACACACCACACACACCATGCAGTCTACGCACAACAAGCACACCACACTCGCCACACACACCACACACACCACACACCACACACACCACACACCCACCACTCACACCCACCACACCCACCACACACACACCACGCATACACACCACACACACCACTCACAACACACACAACACAACCACACACAACCACACACAACCACACACAACCACTTATAATCACGCACAACCGCACACAACACACAGCACACATCACACACACACACCACAACCACCACACACAACACAACACAACACAACACAACACAACACAACACAACACACCACAACACACCACAACACTACACGCCACAACACACCACAACACACAAGACAACACAACAAACATCACAATAGACACTACACATCTCACACAACACACAACGAGGCACACAACACACACACATACAGCACACACACAGCACACACAGCACACACACCACACACACAGCACACACAGCACACACACCACACACACACACCACACACACACCACACAACACCACACAAGACAACACAACACATCACAACACATCGCAATACCAGCGCAAATATGTGCGCACAACTTCCTGGAGCCCCCACGTGTTCCGCATGTTCTGGATGCTCGTCTTCCCCTCCGCTTCCCATCCTTTCCGGGGGATCGACGCCTTTGCTGGTGCCCTTTGTGCGTTTCTCCCTCCCGATATCGGGAGCGGCCAAGAGGGGGGTGCCTAAGAGGGGGGGGGTGCAAATCATGACGGGCGTCGCGCACCTTCGCCTCGAGGTGCTGCGGCAGCGCCACGCAATCTTGCGCCTCCTCCTCCTCCTCCTCCTCCTCCTCTCGTCCGCCCTCCCCCTCCCCTCCTCCTCCCCCCCGAACGTCGTCGTCGCCGGTGTGCTCGGGGCGTGGTCTTCAAAGGGCGCCTCTCGCCTTCGCGGACGGAGGGGGCGATGGCTTCCCACAGGCGGCTCTCGCCTCGGCCCCGCGCGCACTCGTCGCGCGAGTGTGCCGCGGCCTCGCGGCTCGAGCGCGGCGCCTCCTCGAGGCGCGGCCCTCCCCTCGGCGCCGCGCACACGCTCGCCTGGAGGGCCTGCAGCGATTGCATGGACAGAGGGGTCCCGTTCACGCATCCCCTCGCCGCCACTCCTCGCCAGACACGGCCCTCCTCCCGGCCGGGCGCGCCAAAGGGCCCCAGCGCTGCGGCGCGGGGCTGCTGGCGGCGCCAGCGGCCCTCTCGGCCCCCTCAGCAGAGCATGAGCCGCGAGTGCGACTCGGTCAGCACGAGGTCGTCCGGCAGCGGCTGGGGCTTCTCCCCGTCCTCCGGGAGTGCGAGTTCTTTTTGTTTTGGACTCTCTTCCAAGCAACTTCCGAAGACGCCCGCAGGACGCGACAAAAGGAAAAGAAAGAGGAGCACGGCGAAACGAGCAGAGTCCCATCTGAACTGTGGACTGACGCCCTGCGGATGGCGAGGAGGGGAGGGATGCGGGATCGACCTGTCCTCCTCGTCCTCCTCCTCCTCCTCCTCCTCCTCCTCCTCCTCCCCCTCGCTGCAATCGGCATGCCCAACCTTGCAAGTCCTGTGGGCCCGAGTTGAGAGGGACGGGGAAGGAACGTCCTGATCCTGCTGCCGACGTCCCTCCTCCTTGCCGGCTGCTGTTGCTCCCTCTCGTCCTCGTCCTCCTCTTTCCCCTTTTCGCTGCAGCTGCTACTTCTTCCTCCTTCCTCCTCCTCCTCCCTCTCCTCTGAGCGAGCTCGTGGCGTCGCTTCTTTGGCAACCCTCCTCCTCCTCCTCCTCCTCCTCCTGGTCCTCCTGGTCCTACCTGCTCCCGTTCCTCCCGCCGATTCCGAATCCTTCGGGACGAGGGCCAGCCTGTAGTTGCGAGCCTTCTTCTCGTTGCCGTTGGCGAGGATCCACTTCAGCTTCCTCCCGCGGCGGCGCAGCTCCGGGGGGGGGGCGGGCCGAGAACGCGGATCCGGCACGAAGAGCGTCGAGGGTTTGGGGGGAAGGGGGAGGAGAAGGTACAGCGAGGAGGAGGAGGAGGAGGAGGAGGAGGGGAAGGAGGAGGAGGAGGAGCAGGAGGAGGAGGAGGAGGAGGAGGAGGAGGGGAAGGAGGATGAGGATGAGGAGCAGAAGCAGGAGGAGAAGGAGGAGCGAGACGTGAGGAGCGAGGAGCCAACATCGAGGGGATGTCTGAACATCTCTGGATCAGGAACATACGTGTGAAAGGACTCCGCCCTGCATCTGTGCGCAGCTGTTGCAACATATCAAGCCGCTGGTACTAGAATCCGAGGGCGTATGAAACGAGACTCTTGCTTCGAAGCACGAATGCAGACACATGCGCGCATCATTACGGCGAGAACTACATTTTGGGGTATCTTGTTAGCTGCTGGAACATGTTCAAACGAATGTGCGCGGCGCGAAACCCAGACTTTCATTTTGAAAACGGGCCGAGATCGAACCGTGTAGGTACTTGAAAGAATTTGAATTAAACAGCTCAACCGCGGTAAGTCTTTAGAGCACACAATTGGGGTAACATATTCATATTTCGGCGACCTTATTCAAGGACTGATGTCCCACCAATATAGGGGGAATTAATTATTTTATCCCCCCAGCACCCGCCGCGCAACAACGACGCCGACAGCTACTACTACGATTGCGACTCTGACTACGACGACTACTAGTCCTTATGCCTTCGGAGCACTCTCAAGAAAATCTTAGCTCAGAAGCTTGATCCTCAGAAACTTTATCCTGAGAAGCTCCATCCTGAAAAGGATTGTTGAAGCTCAGGCCCTACGAGGGCCCTCAGAAACTCCATCCTCAGAAGCTCCATCCTCAGAAAGACTGTGAGCAACGCCTTCGGCGAATAATGTGACAATTTGTATTGCACTCCTCTTACGAACGTGCTCAACATTCCTCTGTCGTGCAGGGTAGCCGCCCAGGGGGCATTCTTCCCCGGGAGAAAAAAACCCAACATGATCCGGTCCGCCCAAGAATATAGAGAAACTCATCTCCGCCGCGACGAGGAGGCTTTAGGACCAACCCCATTCACCGCCGCGAGAAAAGGGGGGGGGTCAAAACTGAAGGCTTACTGCGGTTACGGCGGGGTGCGCACAACAAAAACAAGCGACGCGCCCTCCGCTAGCGCAGCTGCTGGGGATGTCATACGTGGTGGGGAACTTCCAAGCGAAACGGAGGAACCGCCCTGCTGACGCGTCTGGTGGGGCGACGACCAGGGTACCTGTGAGGAAAACGGTTGGAGGAGGATAGGCAAGGAGGGGAGGAGGACCGAGGAGGAACACATAGGCCAAGGGAGGAGGCTATGCATGAGGAAGAGGAGGAGGAGGAGGAGGAGGAGGAGGAGGAGGAGGAGGAGGAGGAGGAGGAGGAGGAGGAGGAGGAGCGAAGAGGAAGAGAGGAGGAGAAGCAGCTGCAGCAGCTGCAGCATCAGCATCTGTTTTCTCCTGCGCCTCCTCCCCTCCCCTCCCCTTCTCCACCTCTTCCTCTTGCCCCCCCTCCTCCACCCCGCACGTAAGAACATAAGGGGTGTAGAAGGGAGCGGGTGGAGGGGGAATTCATGATACCATTATTGAAGATGATATTGTTGTCGTTGTCGTTGTCGTTGTTGTTGTTGTTGGAGGCGCCGCCGGGGGGGGGGCCCAGCGCGGATCCAAGAAACCCGCGCGGAGCGCCAAATGTATGGCGTGTTTGTTCTTCGATAGAAGGCCGGGGGACTTCCGAGCCTTCTGAGAAGGCCTTCTCCTTCTCACTTCCCTCCCGGGCTCGCCAATTCTGGACGCTCATCCTGCATTTCCTTCCCCACCTGCCCCACCTCTACACGTCGGTCGGAAGAAGTAGGTAGAAGCATGAAGTAGGAAGGCGGATGTAGTGGATTGGGTCCAGGGCCTCCCAGAGAATAACAAAACACAGCAAAAGCATGTCGATTCTTGAAGTAGGAAGGCGCTTGAAGTAGATTGGGATCTGGGAATCCCTAAAATACCTACTTGCAACGACCGGCGTGTACTGGGAAACGTGAAATTACGGATGATCTGCGCTCTCGGGCTCCTGGGACATCTAACACATATATTGATTGGGCCTCGAGGCTCTTGGGGAACGTCAAGATACGAGTGAATCGCCCTTCCATTTTGATGGGAATCTCAATTCGGCGCATCCCTCACGCACTTCGTGAATGTTGGGTGCTCCGCTGGCTCTCGAGACATTTACTTTGAGCTTCAATTCGGACGCCCCTCACGCACGTCGTCCTCTCCCCTCCTCCCCGTTTGGGCTCGCCGCCAAGCACAAGTCAGTCCCATTCGGGCGCCGACTCACACGTGCGGCGCTCACTCAATGCTCAAAGGCCTTTGACTCAGAGAACCCAGGCGAGATTTTTTTGGCTGATATGCTGCGCAATTGCATGCGCGCTGCAGTGTGTGGTATTATTGGCAGTCGAGATTCGCCCTACGGTCATGCTCCAGCTCATCCTCCCCCTCCTCCTGCCGCTCCTCACCGCGGTGCCCTTGTCGATGTCCATTTCCTTGTCGACCCCGCCGAGGTCCAAGGTGATCGCCAAGCCGAGGTCGCAGACCTTCAGGCCGAAGAGGAACAAGGGGTACGGAGGAGGAGGATGAGCTAGAAGAAGGGGAGGAGGCGGAGGGGAACGAAGAAGAGGCGGACGGGGATGAGGAGGAGGGCCTGAAGGGGGGAAGAAACTTCTAAGATTCCCCAGAAACGCTGCCTGCACTTAGATTTTTTTACGGGTTTTCTACGGCACTGGGCCCGTGCGCCAGTCTGACAGCTATGCAGTCGCCATCGCCGCCCCGTCGCCGGCCGCCGCCGGTCTTCTGGGCCTGCCTGTCGTTCTGGTGGCTATGTTATCGCCGTCGCCGACGTCGCCGCCGTCGCCACTCGTCGCCGCCGTTCGAGTCTAGCACATCGGTGGCTTTGCGTTGCTTTGCATTGCCGTGCACTGTTTTGCAGGGCTGTGTATCTAGTTGTCAGCTGGCGAAGAACGGTAGAAACATGTACTTTTCCGCAGTTAGGGACGCCTGCCCCCCAGGCGGCTGGAACATTTACACCCATATACACTTTCCAGCCGCCCGGGGGCAGACGTCCTCGACGGCACAAAGTTTACTTTACACCGTTCTTCGCCCGCTAAAATTGTCGTGTGTTGCAATGACTTGCTTCGCTTTGCAACGCTTTGCGTTGCGCTGCGTAGCTTTGCATTGCTTTGCGCAGTTTTGCATTGCTTGAGAGTTTTCCCCGCAGCGTGCTTGCACTTAGGGCCTCGTATCAGCTCTCAAAAAAACTGGGCCTGTACGTCGGTCTGGCAGCTATATTGCCGCCGTCGCCGCCCCGTCGCCGTCTCGTCGCCGCCCGACGTCTGGGGCTGTGCGCTGGTCTGCCGGCCATGTTGCCACCGTCGCCACGCCGTTGCCGCCTCGTCGCCGCCCGACGTCTAGCCCTTTGCGTCGGTCTGGCGGCCATGTTGCCACCGTCGCCGCCCGCTCGCTTTCCTCGTCGCCGCCCGACGTGTGGGGCTGTGCGTCGGTTTGGCGGCTATGTTGCCGCCGTCGCGGCTCCGTCGCCGCCCGACGTACATTCTTATTTCTAAGGAAACATTCGTATCACCCCCCAAAACAATTAACAGTACCCTGTTTATCGGAGTGCGACTTGCGCATGGTTCTGCCCCATCGTCCATCGTAAATACGAACTCGTGTCACGCCAGGTAAACCAGTATCCCCCCGTCATCCTCTGCATCATAGACTATGCGCGCGCACTCGTGTATCAAGCACCCGCAGTTTTCAATAACCCCTTGCAGTCAATGTACCGAAAAGCACACGCGCGCTTCGTCGCGCGCGCATGCCGCAAGTCATCAAACACCTTCGGTTTCACAGAGATTTCAATGCCCAACGTCCCGAAATACAAACACATGGTTTCGCAGCGCGTACTTTCAATAACGGCTCCGCTCGTGCCCTTGCGTATTTTGGTGAAAACCATGATCTGTTCGTAATATGCTACCACAAGGCCCCCTAGTGCGCGCATATCGAAATCGCTCGAACGCCCTTGCGCGCGTGCTGTCGCCAGAGCCCTTTTGCAAATTATGGGCGGGAAGCGTACACGCGCGCATCGTCGCGCGCGCATGCCAACATGCTTAAACTACCACAGGTGCCGTAATACTTCAAAATCGAGTGCCCCGAAACATATTACAACAGGCATGGTTTCGCAACGACAGTTTTCAAACAAAGCCTGCGCTCGTGCTCTTTTGAATTCTTCACAACAAAAACCATCCGTTTTTGTTTTGGGTCGAAAAATCCAATACGTTCGGCCCAGTGGGCCTCCCGTCAGCCGCGTGCGCATGTCGAATTCCGTACACAACCTTCATCGCCACCACGTGGACACCATTATAGTCAGCGGCGTGAACAGTATCGGCGCCGTCATTCGCCTTGCCGTCGTCATCGTCACCACCGTCACCAGTATCGCTATTATCATCACCGTGTCTGCCGTTGGCGACGTCGCCCTGATACCGCACCCGCCCGAAACACCGACTCGCACTAAAAAGTGCCCGCGTGTCAGCGCGGCCTGCGAGATGCGCTAGGCAGTCCCCAGCGGTCACAGCCACCGCGGCCGTGCCGGTCGCGCCAAGACTAGCTGGCCGTTCTGCGCGAGCGAACCTGCGCGCGCTAGCGCGGCCGCATCGATGCGCCAGCCAGTGCCAAGCAATCATGGCAATCACCGCCGCATGGGTTTTGTAAACCAAGTTGCGGGTTCGGGAGCGGCCAAGAGGGGGGTGTCCAAGAGGGGGGGGTGCAAATCATGACCGGCGGCATGTGCACGGCCCAGCGGGTGGGCCATGGACGTAATGAAATTATCCCAGTGCGACCCGACCTAGGAGTTGGAGCATCTAGGAAAGCAACATCTACATCTACACCGACAGCTGCATTAACATCTACACCTGCATCTACATCTACATCAACATCAACAGCCAGACTCACATCTACATCTACATCTACACCTACATATACACCTACATCTACATACACATCTACATCTACACATACATCCACATCTACACCTACACCTTTGATGCGCTATGCTATGCTATGCTATGCCGCGCTATAATATGCAATGATAGGGTATGCTAGGCTGCGCTATGTTATGCTATGCTATGCTATGCTATGCTATGCTGCGCTATGCTATGATATGCTGCGCTATGAGATGCTATGCTATGCTGCGCTATGCTATGCTAGGCTAGGCTATGATATGCTACGTTGCGCTATGCTATGATATGCTATGCTATGCTGCGCTATGCTATGCTATGCTATGCTATGCGATGCTATGCCGCGCTATGCTATGCTATGCTATGCTGCGCTATGTTATGCTATGCTATTTGCGCTATGCTATGCTTCGCTATGCTATGCTAAGCTAAGCTGTGATATGCTAGGCTATGCTATGCTATGCTGCGCTATGCTATGCTATGCTATGTTATGCTGCGCTGTGATATGCTGCGCTATGCTACGCTATGCTATACTATGATATGCTATGCTATGCTATGCTGTGCTAATGCTGCGCTGCGCTAAGCTGAGCTATGTTAGGCTAGGCTAAACTAGGCTAAACTAAGCTAAGCTAAGCTAAGATGAGATAAGCTAAATTGAGCGGGGCGATTTACACTGTCCGGCCCTTTAAGCTCATACAGTAAGAACCCTTCTAGGCAGAGCCTAAGTAGGGAATAGGAAGAGGCGCCATGAAATCTGGGGAAATATCATGCCCCCCGCCATGACACCCACCCCCCACTAGTCACCACCCCCCTCTTTTCCGCCTCCGACGGGTGGGTGGGAGGGGAGGCGGGGCGACCGCGCGAGCAGTGGAGCTGCCAGCTTCAAGTTCGGCAGGTTCATTTGTCGGGGATCTTCTGACCCGGGTCCATCCAGACCCGGGCCAGCCAGGCCTTGCAGAATCCTGCAAGATCCTGCACCCAAGCCCGGGTCAGTGCGAGGGATCCTGCAGGATCCTGCACCCAAACCCGGGTCAATGCGACCCTGGCCCTGCAGGGTCCTGCAAGATTGGGCGCTCTGGCTGAGCGCTACGAGGAGCAAAAACGCCTCTTCCTCAACACCGAGCGCAGCTGCGCCGCCGCTGGGATCACCTTCATTCCCATGGTGGTCGAGGCGCACGGCGGCGGCTGGGGCAAGGAGGCGCGACGCGCCCTGGCCGTCCTGGCTGACCCCCGTTTGCGCTGACCCCCGTCTCGAGGCTCCCGAATTTGCACGCTGCCCACTCCCACCGGCGAGAAGTGCCCAGAGCCCGGCGCGCGCGCCGCCCTCGAGGGGGAGCGGGCCTGAGGCCCGTGGGCGCGCAGCGAGCGCGGCCCTCTCCTGCACCGCCCAGAGGCGAGGAGCGGGGCGGGGAGGCGATCGGGGATCTGCAGGAGGAGGAGGAGGAGGAGGAGGAGGAGGAGGAGGAGGGGAGGAGAGAGGAGGAGGGGAGGAAGAGGGGGAGGGGGGGGAGGAGGAGGAGGGGAGGAGGAGGAGGGACTGGGGGAGGAGGAGGAGGAGGAGGAGGAAGGAGGAGGAGGAGGAGGAGGAGGAGGAGGAGGAAGGAGGAGGAGGAGGGAGGAGGGGGAGGAGGAGGAGGAGGAGGAGGGAGGAGGAGGAGGAGGGGAGGAGGACGAAGCCAACGACGAGGACTGGGCCGGTCGGGCTTCGCAGAGTCCTGCAGAACCCTCTGGGATCCTGCAGGATCCTGCGCTGCCCGGCGCAGTGCAACCCTGGCTCTGCAGGTAGAGGCCTCCTGGATGGGGTGCGGGAAGAGGGGGTCGGAGGATCTTGCACCATCGCCGATACATCGGCGATGCATCGGCGATGCACTGGCGACGTCGGCGGTGCATCGGCGACATCGGCGTGGAGAAAATTGAGCCCCACATCGAGCCGCATCGCCGATGCATCGCCGATGCATCGCCGATGCATCGGCGATGCGGCGCGATTCTCCGACCACATCTATTCCGACCCCCTCTAGGCGGCCTAGAGCAGGATCCTGCAGGATCCGGCGCTCTGGCTGAACCCCGTTTGCAGTGTGACCCCCGTCTCTGCCAGCTGGAGGCGGCGGGAGGCGCCCTCTGGCGGCAGGGCGCGAAGCTGCGATGGTGGTGGTGGGGGGGAACAGGCCTGCAGGAGCCAGTTCTCCTCGGTCAGCACGGCGTCGTCCTGGGGCTCGAGGATCGGGTAGGGTCGAGGATCGAGGGTCGAGGAGGGTCGAGGAGGATCCAGGATCGAGGAGAGTCGAGGAGGGTCGAGCATCGAGGAGGATCCAGGATCGAGGAGGGCAGAGGCCCGAGGAGGATCGAGGGCGATCGAAGATGCTGAGGATCGAGGAGGGTCGTTGTCCTTCAGCGGGTACTTGATCACGCCCTGCTCCTCCCTGTCGTTCTCCGGGAACGCGGTGGCCGGGCTGATGCCGAAGTCGTCGACGCTCCTGCCCCCCTCTCTGGCTCCTCCCCTTCTTCTCGTCGTCGCCGCCGCCGCCGCCGCCTTGGTCGTCGACGCCCCCACGCATCCTCCTCTCACGGTCCTTCAGAATTGCACAATATGAATAGTACTCTCCTCTCTCCCCTGATGACGTCTGGAAGATGTCCAGCCCCCTCATCGTACTGTTTTTTACGCGCAAGATTCCTGGGAGTTGGGCTTTTTCTTCAAAATGCTGCTCCCGCTGAAGCGCTGGCCTCATTTTCGGGCTTCCGCTCGTTCCGAATCGTGCTCCCGCTGCAGCGCTGTCTTCGTTTCCGTGCTTCCGCTCGTTCCGAATCGTGCTCCCGCTGCAGCGCTGGCCTCACTCTGCGCTTCCGCTCGTTCCGAATCGTGCTCCCCTTGCAGCGCTGGCGTCATCATTTCCAGTGCCATGCCACGGCATGCAATGCAATGCTATGTTGTTTTCCGCTGTGCGATGCCATGCCCGAAAATCTAGAAAATGCCTGCCCCCCGAACAAAAAACATCGGACGTGATTACACAGTCGGTGTCGATTCGTCGATTTGTTGGGCCGCAGAAGACCCCCCCTACTTAGGGCGTCGTTGTTTGGAAGTATCAACCAGGAGCCCCGCTTCTGCTTTGAAAAGGCGATGTTGAAAGCAGAATCAGCGGGTACTCTCCATCAGCCCCGCCTTGTGTGGAGATTTTCGGGGAGCCCAAGGAGCTAGACATGGAGCCACGACTCCAGACCGGCCCAAACCTCTCGAAGACGATCTACTTCCACCCTCCAAGTAACCCGGTGCCATGCCATGATATGCTGTGCGGTGCTGTGTTCCGTGCCGCTGTGCGATGTGCCACTTCTTTGCGTTGCAGTGTTGTGTGATGCAATTCTTCACTACGCAACGCCACGCCATGCTATGGCATGCTACGCTCTGCCGTGCTCTTCTAGCCCCTGATGTGCCGTGCTCTACGATGCATCGCGCACCCTACTCGACATCCGACAGTGCTAATAGAGAGGCGATCTACGCCATCGTAAGGGATGGGGAGGGGTAGGACGTCAGACATGATGCGACCGCACCTGGCTTGTCTCCCCTACTCTTCCCCACCCCTTCCCCTCCCCGACATCCGTTTCTCCATTGCCGTGCTCTCCCTCGGTTACCCTGCCTTCCCTCCATACCTCCATTAAGTTCCTCCGGGGATCTTCTGAACCAGGTCAATTCAGACCTGGGTAAGTCAGGCCTTGCAGGAACCTGCGAGGTCCTGCAGGATCCTGCGCCCAAACCTGGGTCATCGCACCCCTGGCCCTGCAAGATTCTGCAAGATCCGGCGCTCTGACTGACACCCGTTTGCATTGACCCCCGTCCCTTGAGCCCCGACCCGCCCTTCCTCTCTTTCTCCCGCCTCCCTACTGCGCCTCCCCTTCCATTCCCCCCTAAATCCCTCCATTACCTTCCACCCCTCCCTCCCCCTGCCTCCCCTCTTATTTCCTGCCGCCCACTCGCCTTCAGCCTCCCCCGCTCCGTGCATCCACCCCTCCTACTTTCCCTGCAAGGATGCGCATCCCCTCCCTCTTCTCCTCCATCTCCATCCTCGTCGTCGTTGTTGTCGTGGTCCTCCTCCTCCTCCTCCTCCTCCTCCTCCTCCTCCTCCTCCCAACTCCCTCCTCCGCCGCTTCCTCTTCCTCCCACGCCCTCCTCCTCCGCCCCTCCCAGCTCGCAGGAAGAGGACGAATGCGGCTATTTAGTCTCTGCTTATTACCTCCTCCTCCTCCTTCTCCCTCCCTCCTTCTCCCTCCCTCCCTCCCTCCCTCCCTGCCTCCTTCACTCCCTTCCTCCCTCCCTCACTCCTTCCTCTTACTCCTGGCCGCCGGCGCCTGCCAGTGATGTCGGCGATCGCCCTCTTCAGCTCCATGACCTTTGTGCCCCTCTTGAGGTGTGGATCGTCGGTCGGTAGCCCTCCAGCTCGTGGTCCTGCCCCCCAGGAGGCGAGGGGAGACGGAGGAGGACGGGCACAAGGAAAGGAAAACGACGACGACCAGAGTTGCCCCAAGACGCGTGGGCCCTCCTGTCCCGAGCCCCCTCCCCTCCTCCTCCTCCTCCTCCTCCTCCTCCTCCTCCTCCTCCTCCTCCTCCTCCTCCTCCTGCCTCCTCCGTACCCATTTTGGCTCAAGCCATTTTGGCTCAAGGCCAAAATGGTGTTCATTTCACTGCCGATCTGGGGTAGGCTCCCACGGCTATCAGTGCTCTTCGTTTCTGCAGCCACACTCACGGGCGAGCTGCCGCCCACCGCAGCTACACTCACGGGCGAGCTGCCGCCCACTCCATATTCCTCCCTTGCGTGGCTCGCGAGAGCTCCCTGGGAAGCAGTGGGACGATGGCCGCCGCAGAGCGTGGTGGAGGGACCGCCCCTGCTGATGGAGGAGCAGCCGCCAATGGCGGCACCAGGCCGCGACGTGCACGCCCTGAAGGCGGACGAGGCTCGCCAGCAAGGTTCGCAAGCCAGTACACAGTCTGCAAGCAGTGCCGATACCGATGGACATGGAAGGGAAGTCCGAGTGCTTCTACTGTGGCAAGCAGCTGGCTCCATCACCTGCCGAACACCGCCAGCCCACAGGGGCTTGGGCAGGAGTCAGCAAGCCACCGCCGTGGAAGGAGCAGCCAGTGGCCGCCGCCCCGACTAGGGACGCCATCCTCGCCATGTTCAGCACGCTCCTCAGCGACACCAAGCACGCCGAACTCGTCGGCAACCTCAAGGACGCCCTCCAGCAGCCCGACAAGCCTCAGCCTGCCCGCGCAGCAGAGCAGGTGCTCCAGTCGGCGCTGTCGGTCCTCACAGACAGGGAGAAGAAGTTCAAGCAGTCGGTCGACGACGCCGAGGCCGCCACGCAGTGGCACGACGACGCCGTGGACAAACAAGAGCAAGCCGCCCTGGACCTCGCCCAGGCACAGAACGCATGCGCCAAGGCACAAGCTGACCACAGTGCCAAGCTTGCAGGAGCAGCACGCGGAGCACCACCTGTGGGGCCTCAGGAAGCCTTCAAGGTCGATAGCTCTATGTGGGACGACCTCTCCATCTACGACGAGGGCACCCGCACCCAGATGGAACAGTGGAAGCAAAAGCTCGACCAGCGCCTCGCCGAGCTCAACAATGGCCAAGAAAAAATACGTGAGCTCCTACGCCAAGCCAAGGAGTCCACTACCAACCCTGCGAAGCAAAAGAAGCCGAATGGGGAGGCACCTGGTGCTCAGCAACCTCCTCCTGAGCCTGCTCCCGCATCGCCAGCGGAACAGCAGCCAGCGGCCGCACCTGGAGGACAGGCACAACCTGGCACGCCAGGAGGCTCTGCCGCCCCACCTGTTGAGCCACGCCAGCCTGGAGGGGCCCCTGGACCCGCTGCAGCCGCCCCTGCCGCCGACGAGCCCTCCGCGGAGGACCGCAAGGCCGCCGCCGAGCTCATCGCCACCACCGCCAGGGCCAGGGAGCTGGCCTTCGCAACTAAGGGCATGGGCAAGGGCGCCACCACGGTGCCAGCGGCAGCGGCAGGAGCCCCACCGTCGCTGGGGTAGCCGCAAGCGGCCGCATCGGCTGAAAGGGGCCTGGGAACCGCCAGTGGGCCCCCCACGGCAGGTGCACCCGCCCCTAAGCCCGAGCAGGCAGCGCAGATCCGGTTCGGCAACGTAACGGCGTGGGGCCCGCAGGCCGCGAACTTCTGTCGCAACGCAGGCTACAAGTACCACCTCAGAGCGCTGGCGGAGGCGCACGTCGATGCGAACGGCCTCGCGGAGCAGATTGGCAAGCTCGCCATGGACGGCTGGGAGCTGTCGGCCACGCCCGCGGTGGCCACCAACAAATCGGACAAGGGGACCCATGGCGGCGAGTGGATCCTCACGCGCAGGGACGTGGCGGCGACCACGTTCGAGGGCTACAGAGACTGCTATGTCAAGCGCCACAAGAGGCAGCCGTTCGTGGGGTTCACGCCGACAGTCCTCCACTCCAAGAGCGGCAACATAGCCGTCGTGGCGGCGTACCTGCGCCCTGGCCTACGGGACCAAGGCGCGAACAGGGACATCCTGGTCTCCATCTCCACCTTCGTGGACATGCTCATGGACCCGTGGATCATCCTGGCCGACTGGAACTACGAGCCGCACTGGTGGGACAACAAGCCGTGGCTCACGCGCTGGAACGGCGCCATCCTCACTGACCCGAGCTGCGAGGCGACGTGCGACAAGGGCTCGGGCTCCGTGTACGACTACGCGATCGTACGGGCGGACATCGCCGCGCACGTCGGGATCGAGGCCATCTACGACGTCCCCTGGAAGACCCACTGCGGCATCCAGATCACGGTGGGTACCGCCGATCCGTGGCAGTACAAAGCTATAAAGGTTCCCAAAGCCCTCCCCGCGCGAGCCAGACCCAAGAAGGTCGCGGACCCGAACAGCAAGAGGTCCAAGGCTCGAGCGGGGGCGTTGCGAACCAGGAGGGAAAGGCTACCAGAGCACCTGCGTGACGAGTTCGGTGCCCTGTGCACCAACCGCGAGACGGCCAAGGAGGACCCCGCCCCCTTCGTCATCCCCCAGGAGAACTGGGACGAAGCCGCCGACGAGGTCAGCAACTTCCCGAAGTTCGATGGCGCAGAGGTCGGCACCAAGGAGGGCAGAGGACACATCTTCCACAACCATGCGCCGAACCTCGCGGAGAACTTCAACTCGAAGTACGCGCAGTGGATCGCGACCCTGGAGCTCGCCTTCCTTGAGACGCACGCGGTCCCCGTCGAGGGCAGGGCCAGGTACCAGGGCAGGGCAGAAGGGGTACAGGACCACCAAGCAGACGATGAAGGCGTCGCCTGGCAGAGCGTGCCTCAGGGACCCCGAGGCCACATGGTGGCAACACCTCAGCACCCTCGTTGTGAGGTACACCGCGCTGGTCACCAACGGCAAGGACCCCAAAGCCCGCCAGCACATCCACAAGACAGCCATGAAAAAGTTGGACGACCTAGAGAACCCTGGGTTCTCCAAGGAGCTCTTCGGTAGACAAACCGACCCGCGGGGGATCGAGGAGTGGAAGACCCAGCTCGCTACCCTCGAGTACTGCGACGAGGTTGACCTGCGCCGCATCAGCGCCACCACCATGGAGTGGACCCACAAAGCCATGGCGGGAGCTGCAGGCAGAGCGCGAAAACGATACCTCGACTGGGCGAAGCAGGCGTGGAAGGATTCACCAGGCAAGCTACGCCGCATGGTCACTGACCCCAAGGCGCCGCGCCTGGAGGACGAGCAGCCCCAGAAGACGGTGGGCGACCCATCCACGCTTATGAACCACTCCGCCGACACCTGGCGCTCCATTTGGGCGTCCGACAGCTACAACGCCAAGCATATCATCAGCGCCTACGAGAAGGCCATGCGGCTTGCGAAAGAGGACCCTCTCTCGCCAATCGAGCCGCAGCACGTGCAAGCCATCGTGGGCACCGCCAACCCGAAGAAGGCAAGAGGGGTCGACAACATCGGCCCCATCGACACCCAGAGGCCCCCCGAGAAAGGGATCCAGGAGCTCGCCGACATCTACAACCAGGTGGAGGCCAACGGACTGTGACCGCAGCAGCTCTGCGCCACCATTGGGGCCATGGCCCCCAAGCCCGCAGGTGGAGAGAGAATCTTGGGCATGCTCCCCACCACCCCCAAGACGTGGGCCAAGGTCCGCTCCAGCGTCACCGACGAGTGGTCCAAGGAGCTCGGGGAGTTCTGGGACACCGCCATCAAAGGCTCCATCGCCTTAAGGGCAGCGCTGGTCAGGGCGCCGCTTGGCGAGACGGCGGCGACCTTTGACATTGCCTTCGCGACCTTGCTGATGGACGTAGAGAAGTTCTACGACTCGGTCTGCTACGCGCCCCTCTTCGACGCCGCTATCGGGGTGAACTTCCCCCCGGTCGTCGTGGCGCTGGAGGTGCAGCTCTACCTGGCGCCCAGGTACTTGCGAATGCACGGCTGGGTCAGCGACGTCATTGATCCCGAGAGGCCCATTGTCGCGGGCAGCTGCAATGGCGGCAAGCTCGCCAAGGTCTACCTGGGGCCGGTCCTGCAGAGGGCCCACATCAACCACACATACGCGGGCCTGTGGACGTTCGTGGACGACGCGATCAAGGTGGCCAACAGCGCGGTCGACCTCGGCATCGACGTGGGCGGCGCCCAGAGACGGGTCGTGGCCAAGGCAGCCAAGAGGGCCAGGACTGCGAGGAGCCGCGCTCACCGCATCGTCGCCGAGGTCAGGAAGCACGCCTCCCTCGCCAAGATCGCGAAGGGCTAGTGGAACACGGGCTCCAGGCCGCAGGGGACCTACGGCCGCCAGATCATGGGCCTCGCCCCAGCGGCCATCCTCGACCAGAGGCGCCAGGCCGTCCAGGCCTCGGCGGGGAAGGTCCCTGGCCGCTGTCTCTCCACAGCCCTGGCCGTCGTCATGAGGAAGAAGGGCCCCGCCATCGAGCTCGGGCGCCAGTCGATCGCCGAGTGGCTCAACTTCTGGATGCATCACCCAGAACACCACATGCGGGTCACGCAGGCGTGGAAGCTGATCTACGGCAAGTCGATCAAGCGCGGCAACAAGAAGTGGAGGAAGGTCATGGGCCCCATCTCCGCCATCCAGGCCATCCTCCTGGACGCAGGCTGGACCTGCCCGACGCCAACGGAGTGGTCACGACCACCGTGGGCAGGCGAGACCTACACCCAGGAATGGCAGCTACCTCACAGTGGACAAGCCGACTGGGAGGACAAGCGCTACGACGTGGACCCTGCGGAGTTCGTCCACGAGTTCTGCCTGTCCCTCGAGAGGAGCCTCTGGAGGGACGCTGCCAAACATCCACATGGAGAAGGATTGCAGGGGTGGGGGCAGACGTCCACATAGTTGCCAACGAGATGGAGAAGTTCACGAGGAAGGGCCAGTGCGACCAGGCGGCCCTCAACCTCTGCGTGGTCGCGGG